ACGCTCCCTGAGCTGGCTGCTGCAACATGTCAGAGCTCAGCAGCAAGACTAAGCATCTTTTCTAGTAGGAACGAATCAAAGCTCTACAGGAGCTGCTAGTCCTCTGTGAAGCCAAACCTTAACTAGCGGTCGACATAGTAGTTTGTCTCTGCGTGTGCTGTTGCATGCACGCCAAGTTGGGGCCCTCGTAGTATTGCTCGCCCACTGACACAGTGGACGTCAGTGCCGCTTCAGACACAAACAGAGAACTGAAAACACATGTTATGACATTTGCTCCGGTCGTGCTCTTGCCTAGGGCGAGATATCTCTCACCGTCGAGCCTGATCATGCGAGACTAGAGCGTAATTACAGCAGAAAGGCCAGGCATAACATCCTTTCTCCTGTTTCACTGATAAATAAAAGTAGTCATCTGCAGTAACTTTCCATACGGGCTGATGGCGACAATAGACTATTGGCATGCAGGGCCTCTACTTCACTAGATGTTGGTGCTGAGAGCTCGCCTCCAAGTGTGGAGAAAGCAGCTGGAGGTTCGACTGTGCCTTTAGTTCACCGAAACCCCATAGCGGCCCGTCTGCCCCGTATCGAATTTCCTTAGTCCCTTATGGTGTTGTCGAAGTCGGGAGCATCATAGTAGCATAGTCGATTCGGCCCAGAGGAAGAACAGATTGTCGTTGGGGATTCGTGCCTTTGGAGGGAGGCAGTTGTGCATCAGAGGAGCCGGTCGACGTAAAGCTGCAGCGCCTATCAGGGATGTAGTCGATCACAGTAGAATATTTGCATGATCTCTGAGGCCCTAAGCATTAGACGGGGTTCTCAAGACGTTGGTGGACGACTAGGGTACTGTTGGCACCGCGCAGTGACCCCGCACGGCGGTTTACTTGGGAGGACGGCGATGAACAAGAGTTTGGAAGCAGCGTGTTCGAATTGGCTTAGCTGAAGAGTTTGTTCCAGTCCAATGAATTAGGAGAGACGTGTATGTATGGATCGAAGAAAAAGTAGCGTAGCAGTCCACCTTTAGGCGAGACACCAATTCTTAGGGGCCACCACGGGACATCTCTAGGCATTCTTGGACTAATTCGTACAGCATTAAGTATTTTGATGACACACTAGGAACCAGCAGCTTCGGGTTACGACGTCTTACATATTGCGCAGTTGAATGCCACCAAAACCGCTCACGGCGCCTTCATCTCGGCGAGCAGCGCTCAACTTGACAGCCAACACTGCTAGTGCAGCACTTGTTTGCAATGAAAACCGTGTAAAGCGTCATACCCATACAATGAATACGGATTTAATTTAAGATGTCGACTCAACTGTGCCAGGGCCACTACCCAACAGTGGACTTTCTGAAGCACCTACACAACGTGCTGCCACCGACCCAACAGCCAAGTATATACCAGGCGGCTTTTGGCTACTGCATTCGCAGCTGAAGGCAGATGGCAGCCAAGAATTGAGTGCGTCGATACACAACAATCTCCAGATGTTATGGTGGAAAGGGTGCTTTTAAAGATGCAAGAGCGGCTCCAAAAGGTGGTGGAGGCGGACTTTACACGTAATGATGACTCATTGGTATCAGTTGCTCGTTGCGCAGGCCACGGCGGTGTGTGCTGCAGGCGTTGATTCATATTCTTTTGTGCCGATTGAGAGGGACGGCGAATGCAGATGGATGAATACTGTGACGCAGTAAATCTAACTGAGAAGGACCGGCTCACCGACCTCCCAGCACTCCTGACAGGAGAAGCCATGATGCAGGGCTGCACAACTAGAAAGAAGCCCCGAGCTTAGTATAGTGAATTGAAATTACACTCAAGCCTCTAGCAACTTCCTTCACACTTGGAGGCAAACCCCAAGCACTTGTATCTGAAGCACTATGGGCCCGGCACACCTACATGCCACCAGAGTTTTAAACCCCTACAGGAGGGTAGTGCAGATGCACATTCGTCTTCTCCATGAGCTAAACAGAATGTTGCACGATTGTAGCTATTCGAAGGAAGAATTTGATTTCTGACTTTCTGTTGTACATTCCGTCTTATTCTTCCACAGCCAAGCTCGACAAAGAAGTTGAGCTTAACTTTAAGCACGGCTGAAGTGAGCCAAAGCCACAGTATGTTTCAAGCGAGCTACTTGTGGCTAAAGAGGCATTGACGTTCACTGCATCGATGGGGAAGATACTGCCCCAAGAGCCTGCATGCAGAGCTAACTTTCGCCCACCGATCGTGAGCAGGGTGGTCATCTAGTCTGTGATCTTCAAAATAATGCGCTGAGCCGGTATTGCAGAAGCCGGTTACTCCAGCGTATTTCGAGAGCTTGGGACAGCACCACTATTCTTCAGCAAGCGCTAGTCCAAAAATAAGCTCAAATGGGGGGTTCTGGCCTGTGAAGGGATGCATACTATGAAAGAGGGTAGCTAGCCTTGGCCTGCAGTCTCCAAAGCATTAAAAGTACTAATGAACAGTAGTTCGGGGGAGCGAAAGATGTCGCAGGCTTCGAGAGACGTTTTTCATCTCCACCAGTAGCCTGATCACCCATCCATGAGGCGCACACCAGCACCAGAAAAAGTTGCTTATTAGACGAAAACCCCAGATGGCAGCTCAAATTTTGAGCACCTGGAGCTGCTGGACTGCTGCTGAGCTCAAGGTCCTCACACACTATGAAGTAGGGAACGCCCAACGGATGCCGGAAGCAGTTCTCAAGGCCGTCGTGGACAAGCATGCACTTTTGGTCGTATAAAGGCTTCACATACTAGAATGCTGCCTGCTGCTTTCTCTATCCTTATCCCTAGTCTTAACTGACACCCTCTCTAATCCCCCCGGCAGACTGCTCTGGAATCTGAGGAGCTTTTTTGGCTCCCAATTGGTCGATAGCACGCGTACACGACGTAACAGCAAAGACGCAAGCTAATCATTACTTCAGAACGTGCCCTACGAACACTTCCGGACGTAAAACCAAAGAAATTGGCTAAGGTCTCTTAGACTCACATGCAGCCTTACGCTTTGTAAACGTGTGGTGCTTGAGGCCTGTAGTTCCTTCACAAAGCCCCAAAAATACTGAATCCCAACCGTTGCGCCTATCGAATGCCTAATATCTGAGCACATATGCTGAACAGCGTTCATAGCCTCATTCCATGTGCTCAGGCACCGTAGCTTGAGCTTCGTTATTTATTGATCCCGTGGTACACTATTTGGTTGAGTGCTTGCTGGCCTCTGCCGCCCCAACATGCGTAGTGCTAGCATCGCCCTTTATCATGGAAGCGCGTTTTTCTTCAGCTTATATTCGCAGCTGTTCAAAGTGTAAAAGTTTTAAGTGGCTTTATCAATGCCAGACAACTCGCACAAGGAAATTCAACGTCGTGCTGCATCGACATTTTGCGGATGGACAAAGAAAGAGCGACAGAATAATTGGTGATTAAAAGTCTAATGCTGCATCTCAGACTAGGCTCAATGCAGATCGAGTAAAAGCTCAAAAGTCTTCCAAAAGAGTTCCCTCCATCCACTGCATATCGCTCTCAATGTTCCTAACATGGAGAGGCACAGCTGGTTAGAGCTGTATGTTCGGAGCGGCACAGCTGTATGGAATTGTATCATCTAAGCACTCCGAGATTTCACAGCTAATTTCATCTAAAGGAACAGACCAAACAATCATTCAATTCTCTACCAACGCTTAGTTCTAGTATCCGCGGGAAGCTGCAGCAGTACGATTTGGAGCATATCAAGCAGCAGATGATGCTGCTACTACCGTTGAAGCTCATAAGTTTTCCTGGATAAGCAGTATTAGCTCAGCGTTTTGACGGCGGCTGTGCCTGCTCTTGCTGCTGCTGCAATAGCAGCAGCGCCCGTTGCCGGCAGAGCAGGGCGGCAAGATGATTGCTTGTTGGTAGTGCATTTACGGCCCCTTTACTCGTAGAGCCCTTGAAGTGTGCATAACTGGTGCAGTGGAAGATGCTAAAGTACAGCTCAGCGCGCTACATGTATATAGAGAACCATGCACCTGCTCCAATGTTCTTGGGGCTCTAAAAGCCAGACTAAGGGCGTGCAGGGTCTGTAGTTCTAAATAAGTTTTTTTAGCGTGATAAGAGGGCTTTTGTACCTCTGAAGTAAGCGGCTGGAGGCGCTACTTTAGTGTTAGTTCACTGTGAGGGGCCTTTGAGCAGCGGTTGGATAGAGATGGGAGAATGTTTGGGTACAGCCAAAGGGTACAGTTAAACAAACCGAAAGAGTATTCCGCACTAGGTGAAAGGAAAAGGAAGCTGCCACTCTTGCTGCAAGGGAACAGTCTAGCACTAAGACGAAATGGAGCTCCACGAGGCTACTCGGTTCCAAAACGACAGATGTTGCGATCAAAAACCTGCATGCACATAGCGCCTGACAGGCTCATAGTCACTGCCATTCAAAGCACATTGCGGGCCAAATGAGTTCAACAAACAGCGTATGCCTGTATGCGTACACAAACAATGGGGACTGCCTCGCTGACGTATGCATGCATTGATCGACCATGGGGCTGGCACGACAGGCACAGTTTCCAAGCATCCCAAACATGCTTTCCGTCTGATGAAGCAAGCGGATTTGTAGGAAATCTACAATCCAAATGCTTGATGATGCCTTCTGTGGACCACAGTGGCACTCCTGAGAGGCCAGGGACTCACAACTACCGCCAATAATTCCACGCATCATCTTTAAAGCACATTTAGTAGTAGAATACCAACCAAAATACCATTCCTAGCCATCAACGATAGTGCAACTTGGCAGTTAGAGTGAATGAAGTAGAACCCAACATTTGTGGCCGTCCACTGCAATCAGTTTGCCCAAAACTCCCAGAAAAGTAGTGGCTGTCTCTCCAGGTGCTATGTTGGGACGAGCAAAGTCTGATCGTGGTTGTCATGTGGTATGGGAAAATCGACGTTGCGTGAAGCATACCAGTCATCAGTGTTTCTTTGGTGCAACTTGTAAGGGAGCACACGTTGGGATCAATATCTCCACAACAAATCAACACCGGGGATTGGCTCGATGGGCTCTTCGTGGGTAGCCCTTGAACAACAGCAGCACCAGCTCGAATGCCTGCATAACGCACTAAGCTTCTGTGAAGAAAGAAGCGCCATGGGGCGGGCTCTCCGCTGTCGTGAAGCTGCGATTCGTTCTCGTCTTCTGCTCGACCAGTTGCACCAACAGAAAGATCTCGAAAAGCACCGGCAGCAGCGAAATAAAGAGCTTATAAACGAGGCTGTAGGGTGGTCCATCAAAAAGTGTATGATTGTCCGCTTCCCAGCAGAGGATAGGCTAGCTTCTTGTCTCGCTGAGCTGCATAAGGACATGCAAAAGAGACTATCACCATCGACATTTGCATTCGCCTCCACAAGTCAGTACCAAGTTGCCCCGACGCTTACGCCTTTCTAATATAAGATAAAGACAAAAATGAGCATTGCGCTTTGTGTTTATTAGCCCATTTCCTCACCGGCTCCTTTTCGTTCTTCCGTGGGCACGATTTTGCATGTGGCGGTTCCCAGTATGCGTGTGCTGAACTACTGGAGCAGTTCCTATTTCTTTGGATATCTTCGGAAATGCTGTGGTACTGGCACGCAATTCACGAGCAAATTGTGACGAACGGTATTGTGTTGGTTGGTTTGCTATTTGCCATGTAGCTCTAGGGATAGGCGGGATACATTTCGCCACAATCGATGGTCCATCTCATGTCGGCGCACACCGAGAGAAATGTACGCTGGTCAGAGATTCCAAGAAATGCACTGTAGAAGATGCTCCTGTAAGCAGAAAGGAGAATTCGACGAAGGAAGTGAAACAAGCAACACCGTTAGCTAGCGAGGCACGCAGTCACGCCATTACGCTTCAAGATGTGTTGTACGAGGGAACGGCACATGCCGCCGATGCACGTGGGCCTATAAAGGCACGCGCCATCACGCCGATGCAGTCGCAACAAGGCTTTTGCAGCAGTACGCAGCGAACAGCTATTAAGAGCGGGGCTCGCTCCCATTTGGCTGTCTTGGGGTTCGGACCCAGTTGCATAACAACAGCAGGCGGCATACACGACGGAGAAGAGTGCGGCACTACTTTATCTATACCAGAGGAGCTACCTGGAAACAATAAACAGAAGACCTTGCCACCTTCTCAGCCACAGCGCCTGATTGCTTATTTAAAGCAAGGGTACAACAGCAGTACTTCACAATGCACGGAAAAACCGTCTCTGAAACCAGAAGGCATTAAAAAAACGAAGAACACGAAAAACTTTCAACAATCGATAATTGGCGAGCAGCACTGGCTTAATCTTGCGCACCAGGTGTCTGCTATGCAACTCATGCTGCTTCAGATCCAGTCGCAGCAGCAAACGCGTCGGAAGCATCGAAACCATAGACGGCCTGAAACCACTGGCGGTATGATGGATCCTCATTACCTCACACGCGGGCTCCCTGACGATGAGAATCCCTCCTTGCGTAGACCAATCAGAAAGCTAGTGCAGATGCCAACGTCTGCACTTAAGGCACCAGAAATCTGTACAGTGCAGCGAAGCCACGATGAAGCCGGTAGTGTACCAGACACGAAAAGAGTTACGCAGAAATTCATAGGAGGGGACTTGCCGGGGGAAGCTCGTATCCATATTGAGCAGCAGCTGCAAAATCAAGAGCAAGATCAGCAACAAAAACAATTACATGTAAATAAAATTCCTAATGGCTATATAAGTCACAGTGGGCTGTGCCAAACCATTTCACCCACAGCCGTGGACAGGCTGTTGTGTTTTACTCCAACAGCCGCTTCTGTGTCTGGCAAGAGCGCCTTAGGTAGTAAAATGCACTGCGGGTCAGCAGCTATTCACCAAGTTCGAAGCAGATCAGGAACGCCACTGCGTCAAGCAGACCAATCCAATGAGAAAGGTGGCACAGAAGTGCCGGCTCAGCGCACAGAGACTACAGCAAGCATCACAGATAAAACACGGCCAGCACTGCAGCAGCTGTCGGTCATGGCAAAGCCTGCCGTTTGACAGCATGCGTATAGCCTTGTGGCTCTTAGCAGCCCGCTGCACAGTATAAGTGTAACCTCCGCCTCAAGCGCCCCCTGCATAATGTCACAAGGGTCCTGTGCAGCAGAAATTCTTGTAAACATTGACTATCCGATGGCAAAGGCTGGAAAAGCGGATCATACTTTTCCGCAAGCAGCGCGAAAATACGCCATACTCCCACAACCTATCAATGATGTAGTGAGTCTGGTAGACAAGCTCTGAATGTGGTGATCTGATCCAGAAATAGAGATGGGAGATGCTTGCTCTCCAGCTGAAGGTATGATCTTGGCGCCAATACTCAAAGAATCAGGAAACGCTCGTAGCCTGTGAGGATATTCAGCCACTAAAAAGGGTTAGCGCTGATGCATGGGTGCCTACACCAGAACCTAATTAAAATTGTGTGCCTACAGGACATCTTTTCATATATATCGTGCGGTATCTGCGCATGATGCTAATTACTCTACCAACCGACACCGAAGCTCGAAAAGCCAGCTGCCCTGCTATTTCTTTGCTTCCCTCCGCACACCCTGGCATTGAACGATCCCCCGTCCATAGACTGGCGCTCACTGATGCTTTTCTAGAGTTCTCCTCAGCCTCTGTAACACTACAGGGTAGAGAAGACCTTCAATGCCGGCTCAAAACCTAGTGCTCGATTTGCACAAACCTCTTATAAGCCTTCTTAATACCCTATATGATGAAGAGCTAAGCATCCTCTCCCGCTTGGAGCTAAAAACGAACTTTCTACAGAGTCTTTTTAGGATGACCTGGTTATTGACACTGCCAATGAGAGACTGCCCGATTTTACTCACTATGAGGCAGACCCGAAAAGTCTAGGGATATCATGAAAACGACCCTGCGAGGCTCAGCTGAACAACCTACAGGGATCAAAGGCCTTGTCCATCAGGCTGCTCTGCTATCCTACTGCCTCCCTACGCAGAATCGGCTCCCAACGTAATCCGTTCGTGTAATGGTGCCCAACGATGAGGTACGGTGCTCTCCCTTGCCAACATGAAGGTATAGCAAAGAACTCAAATGCGGTCTGAATGCGCGCCTGTGGAGATCCCAAACTCCATGATGGCATTGCTCAGCCTTCGTGTAGACCCTAACAAGCTCTACCTCAGGAAAAAGAATCAGCGGTCTACTCTCTCTGGAATTGAGTGCAAATACCGTACAAACTGACTCCTGGGGTTGTTTCCTTTTCCGACATTTTTAACTGTTATCATGACCCTTGATACGCTCTCAAACGTCCAATCTCAACACAACTAATAAGAGTCTTTCTTATTAGAGACAATTTAATAGTTCAAAGGAACACGGAATCACATGCAGAAATATCATTTGATGAGTGCTCGGTCATCAATGACTTTCCATGCGTGCATTATTGCGTGAAGAACAAGCTGGGGCCTCTGGGTAATGGGATCTCCTTTGGAACCGTATATGGGGAATTTCCCGCTACAAGCACGGTTTCAACTGCATGCCGTTAATTTAACTGTGTTCTTGTCTACTTTTCCTTCCTTTTAGTACTGCATGAGTTTCTTCATGTGTGCCGTTGTAATATGGATTTCAGCAAAAATCTAATGTAAAGGAATGCGCTGATAGTTAATATAAAAACTGGAGCTCAAAATACGCCCTGTTTTTGGAGATGATTGCAGTGTGATTTTTATTCTTAATATTAAGACAGTATACTGTGCCTATTTTTAGGAAACAGACTATGCACACTTCCCTGCCGAGACAGCCTTAGATATCATGTACTGCTAGAAGCAATGGTTCAAATGCTTGGGACTTTGTGGGGAGCGATGTCTCACACGTCCGCTCCTTTTTTGGGGCGTCGAGCTGCCTGCGGGGCTTGGAGACACAAGCAGGTCATATTGACTTGATGTTTAGAGATGTCTGAGTTGCATACTGCAGGACAACATTTGCCGTTGTATCTCAGTGGCCAAGAAGTAGAACATTAGAAACGAGGCAGCTTGGGAGCGTCATGCGTGCTCTGCTGTGAAAACCAAAGGGGGTGTTCAAAATCCTGAAGTTATGGGTAGGGAAGCGAGCCACCAGTATTCGAAACATGCAGAGCATTCCTACAATGCATTACATATGACGGTGGTAGAGAGGAAGCTTTTTCTGCGAGTGCCGTAAGAAATGCACCCGTCATCCGGGCAGTGTGCCCTGCCCAATTGTATGAAGAAGTTTAAGTTATGCAGTCTCATGTAGTCGATAAAGATTACATTTCTCTCTCTAGCTTTAATCCACATTGCAGAAGCTTGAGAGACGCATAAATACTCAAAATACCAGCGGCCCAAATTGCCCATTGCCTCTGGAGCCACTTTCACCTCTAGAAGGGTGGTGCAGATGCAAGGCAATATACTTTATCCGGTCAAGCAACAATTTGCACGACTAATATAATTGTGGAACAGGACGTTCTTTCTGACTTTGATCATGGAGCGCTTTTACATAGAGCCAAGCATTACAGCAAAATTGAGACGAATTATGGGCAGGGCAGACGAATGACCAAATTACAAATGCCTAGTTGTCTCATCCTGGCCATTCTAGCCTAGCAGAATTTTGCCTTGTCAATGTGACATATTTACTTATACTTGGGGCGAGCGATTGCCACCGCAGTATGTACAAATTCCTATGATGCTTGTTCTTGAATTTTGTGAAGGTGGATGATGTTGTCGCCCACCCCAGCGCGCAGCTACCCAGTTGGTTGTGATTGAGCAAACGATGCTGGGCAGTGATCCGACACAGAGAGATAAAAGTCCAGTGTAGACGAGGTGAAGCAAACGAGGTCTTAGATAGACTCCAGATGCTTGAATACGACAGGACTCCCAGTCGCCACTTCTTTGTCAGGAAACTGATTGACCGCCATTGACTGCTCATCTCCTCCTCCTGCCCAGTGATCAACAACATTCCAGCAGTTGGGTCGGTTTCCTTCAAGCGTTCCCCCTTTACTCCGCGCCTACTAGATAAAAATATGATGGATAATTTTTTTTGAGAAGACCGCTTCCAGCTTTTACGAAAACCTTAGGAGGCTAATAAGCACACCAGGAAGTACCGAACGTGCCACCCCGCTGAAATGTCTCTCATACCATTGGGAGCCATTGATCAAACAATGAAGCCGGTCAAGCGAACATCGCAGGGATTAGGTGCTTATAATTAGAAGACCCATCCACGGCTCGTACGCTACCGGTGCAAGCTTGCCTGTGGCCTTCCCGCATGCTTCGCTTGATATTCTTCGCAAAGCTAATTTAATCTTCAGCCGGTGGGACTCCTGTTCAAGAGCTTGCAAAAAGCAGTACTATTTTTTTAGCGCTCCAGAACTGCAAGTGCGTGTGCTTCTACTACTTTTGGCAAGGGAGCTTAAAAGCTATTTATCTGAGATATTGGCTTTGGATCCATATTCTGCTCGCAATTCTTGAAGCTGATTGCTGAGTGGTTTCTAACCTGCATGGATCTCAAGGTTGATACGCGGCCCCTCAAAATGTCCTGCTCACGTTGCCTGTGCGCCAGGATAACTTTCTTCTCTTCTTCCCAACCACCTCTGAACCAAGCTATGGCTGCTTCGCGATCCTCCTCTTTAACTGGCCGGTCATCTAGGTACCGAAGTGTTGGTAAATCTATGCATATTACAGCGTATGCAATTCCCCCGAATTCGGTGGCCAGCATAAATCTTTAAGTCAATGTGCCTTAAACACAAGGCTAGACAGGTCTGCATGAGGAGGCAAGTACGGCAAGCGTATCCAGCACTGTTGGATTCTCCGTGCAAGCTGAACAGTGCAGCTGCTCACTTGCTATCATCGTTCGGCGGTACTGCATCACTTGCTTGATTATAGGGTTGCCCATCAAGTATAGTGAGGAAAGAGAAGGAAGGGTTTTAAGGCATTCTACAAATTCAGAGCTAGCTGCAGTATTTGTTGTGGAGCAAAAGTGCTCAACAGGCGTGCCAGTCAGACGACTTGAAGGGGTCACTACGATTGGGGTGCAGCTATTTTGCGTTGAATTCTCTGGATCCATCAGACGAGCAGCTAGAGCCTGTTGAGCAGGGATTTTCTCTATTTGACTAGATCCTTCCACAATTCCCACAATGGCTTCACTAGCTGGAAGATCTGCGGTAGCGCCGCACGCTGGTGCTAAATAGCTTTCTTTTTGCAAATCGAAGTCAGAAGGATGTTCTTCGGAGAGGGAAAGGTTATTGTAGGAAATGTCAACGTTGGTTAAACTCGGGCATCTCTGAAGCTCTAGAATATCCTGCGACATTCGAGCATCATCAGCATACGGAGGACGCCTATCGGGCTGTTATCATGAGGAGCTACTGAGCATGCAGAGTACCAAGTTCGGCTTGTGACTTACCACCAGAGAAGCAATTTTATTATGAGCTATCTTGAAGGAGGAGAGACGAGAAAGTCCCGAGAGGCCTTCGATGCGAGAAATGTTGTTCTGTGAGAGGTCCAAAATCACTAGTTCGGGGCAGCAGTGGAGGTTTTCGATCCGCGTCAATTCATTCTGCTCTAGATACCTAAGTGCGAAGGACCACAAGTACAGATTTGTAGATGCGTCAGCGGGGAATAAGTGACCTTGAAAGCCTTAAAAGCGGCACATATATCTTGCCTGTTCAACGCAGAGATGGAAGACACTGCAGGTCTTTTGATGCAGCGTCTCACAGGCATTTGAGTTTTGAGAGTGGATGAAGATTTTCAAGTCTTCGAATGCCGTTACCGCCCAGCCACAGAGCACGTACTTCGGTATATTCGTCCAAATTCTCAATTTTTTTGAAGCCTTGGCGATGCAGATAGAGCTTTTCATTCAAGGCTGGCTGGTGGTATAAGCCTGTGTCTGTTAAATGGTATAAGCAAGCATTTCCAGTTTCCCCCCTTTTGTGACCAGGTGTGTTTTGTTCAGTAGCTAAGCACAAAAATCCGAAGACTAAGTGCCTGTACACTCTGATCGTACCGTGGCATATTTTCTGGATTGCTTCCTTTGTCATGCTCATTCCTTCCATGTTGGCCATTTACATGCGGTTTGGATGTCTGCTTTCAGCTGCATGCATATTTCTACCTAATAATCACATCCCGCTCTGAATAGGCGGTGCCTATGAGTACTGCTGCAACAAGCCCCTTGACCTTCGTGAATCGTTCGCCCAAACTCTTCTATTTATCAGTCGTTGTCCCGGTAGGCGGATACTTGTAAGGGTGCATGTGGCTGCAAGGCTCCTATCGGTTTCTGGATTGTTGTTGTCCAATCGATTCGTGCCGGCCATGAGCACGGACAAAGTTTTGTTCCTTCCACACCAGAAGAACTTAATGAAGTTGCAGAACCCTGTACACATACGCCTGCGTTCAATTTGGTGCTGGATGCACTAACTCAGGATCTAACTAATCACATGAAAGGCATATCTGGTTTGGATGCAATGCTACACTGCAGCATGATTCATACTCTGTGAAAGGAAGTAAAATGAAGGCCGTTACATGGTGTGCTGACACTTGGGCAATTTGCCTGCAACTAGTCAAACGGGCGTTTTACTTTCATTGTAAGAATTGTTCCGCACAAATGGCCGCGATATCTCAGTAGGCTTATTTAACATCAGTCAGCAGATCTCAGTTGAACTTACCCAAAGGAATTCACCCAGGCATTAGTATAAGAAGGCTGCACCTTTGCTCGCGCAGAGACTTGGTGGGTTGTTCATTTTAAAAATACGCGAACCACATTAGTCTTTGCTAAGCTCGAAGACATTTTTGAGACATGCTTATATTGAGAACGCTGGATTGGGTCGTCTTTAACATAGAGTAACAATTGATATGCTGCAGAGCCCTCTGGAATGTCAGCAAGTATGGGGGTCATTGGTTTACTGGTGCGTGTTTAATTATCCTAGCCACTAACTTGTTTTCATGTACTCTGAGAAATGCTTTTACAGCGATATATTCCGTCGAAGTAGGTGCCGCATGCAATATCATGAAACTTGTAGATCCTTGCTCCTGCATGCAGCTAGCGGGCAGCCCCCGTAGGGGACCCGTCTAAGAGGGATTAAATTGCAAGGTATTGGTTAACACCTCCAATTTTTCCGTATTACATTATTCCTGTGACCAAAACTGTATCTGTATTTATACGTAGGACTGGTAAAAATTGCTGCAAGTGGTCATGAGACGTCGCAAAAGCGGCCCTACTTCTTGAACTCCTCTGCAGCCATTTGCCTCATCTTGGTGGCAGATGGTTTTGTCTATTTTCCATGGAAGACTTTTTAGTGGTCATTTCTCGGTTGCAAGACATATGTTCTTGTCAGGCCGTATAAATCTGCATGTATTAGTCTGAATGCGCGCAGCGTCCCTTAAAATTATTTCTCCATCGGTACTTTGGCGAGCCTCCAGGATACATTGGTTTCTCCGAGCAGTGAAACACCAGAGGGACGGCTGCCTTTTTTAAACCCCATTCTACATTGGGAATTTTTGAGCTTTTTAAGCATCATAGTGGTTAAAATCAATTTTGGGGATACTTGGGCAACTTCTATCTTTCGTTTTCTGTTTGCATCACACAAATGAACGCTCCTCACAGCTTGCATGCTAGCTCGATCAAGGCCATCACATACCCAGAAACCTGTGATAGCACTGGCCATCTCTTGGACAGAAGGTCTACCAATACCGCCCACCCCACAGGAAAAGTGGCTCTTTCACACCGCTTGTGTAAACCCGCCGCAAAGTCTCGTGCGTGTACAATGTCTCATGGCAAGCTGCCGCTTACCACTACAAGTAGAGAACTGTCAAGTACGGCCAGCATTAATGCTGCAATTGACTATGTGAACAAGGATACTACAGGTCTTCTTTTGCCGTTGACAGGCCTCAACACAGCCTTTGCCCGCCTCTACATTTTTGACTGGGATAACACGTTGTGTCCGACTGACTGGCTTTGTGAACTTTACTCCAGTTTCGGCCAGAGCGTTTATACAGCCAAGCGCCCGTGTGCAGCACTATATTCTCCCGCTACACGAGCCCGCATGGCTGCTCTGGAATCAAGTGTTCGACTCCTGTTACAAAAGTGCAGAGAGCGCGGTCAGGTAGCTATAGTGTCGAACGCTACCTCCATAGGTCTTCTGAAGACACTCATGCTCCTTCCAACTGTCCAAAAAACGCTGACTGAACTGCGTAAGGCCTTCACAGTTTACGTAGATGTAAGATGAACGACTGATTTGAAGAGCCACCAGGGAACAATATCTGATTGCCGTGCATATCTGGCATCTTCACGAAATATGCTTTCCTACTATTGCAGAGGTGCAGATTGTGTCTGCTCGTGATATGTGTGAACCTCACGGCCTTCCATTAGAAAAATGGAAAGATACCGCCCTTATTCGGCTGGTCACGGCCTTCATCCACAAGCGCCCAAAGCAAAAATACTCTATCATGACGATCGGTGGGCTTTTCTTTTGTTCCACCTTAGAGAAGCGGCAAATATGGCGTGGGCACACCTGGGTTGCTTCCAAGAAAACTTTCGTGCTGGGTAAAAGATCTTTGAAAGTAACTATAGGAAGTATGTACATGGTACTTGTGCTCAAATGCAGGAGACCAACAGCTTGAGCACATCGCCCTTCATAACGCAGCGGCGTACCTACTGCGAAATCGTGGATGGGAGTGCCATCCAAAGTGTATAAAATATTTGGAAAATCCATCCTTAGAAACTCTTACGCTGCAGACACTCTCCCTTACAGACCTTCTTGATAGATTTGCAGACGAGGAAAGCGGTACATACTGGATGCAGTGTGACGAGCTATCAAGTTTCCCTCCGTCTTTGCAGGTATACTAAATGTAACCCATCGGTTATCGTTGTTCCAGATCCTCCCTTCCCATGTGTGTCCTATGTCGGGAACCCTGCAGTACCAACTTCTAATATGCGATCGCAACTGTCCTTGCGCTAGCGTTAGTCTTATGCACTGCTACAAACTCAATCAGTGGCTATCAATGCTACAAAGAATTGCACAAATTGACACATGAAATTTTTGGCTGCTCGATCGATTGCATCTCTGCCACATGATTGAGTGGCTCAACAGTTTGCTGCATTTATAATTTTTCTGGCCCCTATGTTCTATGCAAGCCTTAGCGATTGCTTGCATCGAGTTCACGTCATGGAGCTAAGACTATATTTTGCTGCACTCCATTGTGACTAGTCAATGACAAAGCTTCCTGCATGGTCCTGGTTGACGTACACAGCACCGAACAACAGTACTTTAAGTTCAGCATCCGTGCACCGCAGTTGCACAAACTCCCTAAAATGTGCGTTACCGCCCTTCAATATTTTTGAGGAGGCGTGAATGTGGTCAACAAACCGCTTCATTACATCTATTTATCTAACTCGCGGCAGTTTTTGAGGTCTGTGCCTCGCGAACAGGGAAGGGCAATCAAGCATACGTTACCTATGGAGGGCAGCCTAGTATGCTGGAAGCAAACGACTTTGGAAAGTAGGCGAACTAAACATGCTTACATTAGCTGCGTTTCGGCTTTTTCTTTGGACAGTTGGACACGAAATTGATTGGCAAAATCTACTTTTTTCCGCGAACCTGCTTAAGTAGTATAGGGTTAATGCGCCTGTTGCGACGAAGCGTGCTTTTGGCAGAAGAGTACTTGCGGCCGCCCAGTTTTTGTCCAAATGACTAAAAGAGTTACAGAGTTCTTCACAAATAGGCGCCGAATCTAGAGATCAGTGACTTGTTAGGAACGGTGACGTGACTCATATACCAGTGAAGAGTGCCCACACTCTTTTAAACTTCGCTCGCGCTGCAATAAATAGCTTGCTGGAAGTATCTTACAATCGCGCCTCCAGCTGCTTTCTTTGCAGCTGGGGGCGCACTCAAAGCGTGAACATCTGGAGCGATAGGAACTCTTAGCTCATCGTTTCCAGGAGTGCTCACCTTCTACGAAGGCTCGAAGCAACAAAGGAGCTTGCATAACTAGAATAATTATGGCGCAGGTTGTCCTTCCTGACTCTAAGAATTGAGTGCTGCCCCACACTTAAGCTTGACAATGAAATTGAATGGACAATGGGCAGGGCAGAAAAAAGACCTAATTGCAACTGCTCAATTGCTCCGAGTGCCTGTGGCTAAAGCGGCACTGACGCCCACCGTGGGAAACCAAGCTGTAACCTCAAGCCGCGAACTTGCTTGTACGCAACAGTGAACGCACTAACAATCTTCGGTTAGCAAAGAGTTTTTTACTGCTGATTTTGCGTAGGGTTGCGTGTTCCCGTGAAGCATTGAATTGTTTCCAATAGCAAGAGCTTTTTTGTTGGGTGGTCAAGTTTGATGCAGGCGTGCAGCAGCCGGCCCAGTGGGCATCCAAGTACAAGGAAAGGGAATAATGCCAGGGGCGTTTTTGCAGAGTATTTGCATTGCTTGCTATGCAAGGACATACTATTGAGTGTTCTTTGAGATCAAGTGTGCAAGGCTCTTAGTAAGCTATGACAGAGTGGCTGTCGAGTTTTGGGATCTTTCCGGACGCACTTTTCCAGCATTGGAGACCCTTGCTGCCCCATCATGTAGGGGAGTCCTAGAATATGTACAGAGATTGATGCACAAGCGTTATTCTCAGAACGGAATATCGTTAGCGGCCCAGGTTTGTGGAAGGAGGAATTAGGTTAGCAAGGTGGCTAGGTGGTGTAGAGCTTTGGCGCCCCTTGGAGAGGGCACTAGTGGCTCGCACGGCATCGTTTTTGTTAGTATCCAAGCATATTGCCGTGACAATTGGTGGCGAGTCGGCTAGTTGCTTAGGTGGTAGCTGGACGACGAAGGAAAGTTCTGTGACACTGCTGCCGAGCGCCGGTGACCTGGGAAGGCGGTGACAAGCAAGCTGTAAGAAAAATTCAGTCAGACTACCCTGATCCGGCTTTATATCATGTGTAAAATTGCTGAATCGGGAACAATAAATAAAGTTGCTTTTACATCGCAGCAACGGCTGGACTCCAATCCCCACCCGTGTGAGCACTGCTATTGGCTGATTCCCACAGGTAGAAAGGTACCCAGCTTTATCTTGAGCTTGAAACACATTTTTGGCATGCTGGGCACCAAAGGCGTTGAATAGTGACCTCATCCAGCAGCGCAGCCACCCAATTTTCGCACTGCACACGGCACCAGGAACAAATTTAACTTCAACTAAACGGCCACTTCTGCTAGAGCAACAATTGCTTGCGGCAAAAATAGCATTAGATGCCAAGCACCAGCTTAATAAAGGAGCCCGATGCACTTCGTTGAAGAAGCATCACTAAGGCCAATACCCAGCCGGTGCCTCCGTCGAACACCCACGCAACATGTTGCGCGCTGACCTGGTAGCCTTGCCAGCAGCATAAAGAAACGGTTCACCGCTGGAATCGCAGATGAAGGCATATAACGACTAGTAGATGAGCACGCTGACCACAATAATTCTTTAGATGAAAAGGCAAAGTGCCCGATTATTGCGGTGACAGAACAGCTAGAGCGGTGATAGAAGCGGCATTGGCACACATCGTCGACTCTTTAAAATCTGTGAGTAGCCAAGCAGACCACGAAGCTTTGTGCCTGCAAGCGTCCCCCTATGTTTTCCGGTGTCAGTTTGAGGGTGCGGCTAATGCACATGGATCAGTGATACGGTACACTGGATTTTACTGGGGAGGAACAGTTCGACGCAATCCGGCCTTTTCTGAACTGCAAGACCTCTTTCTCTTCCAACCAGTCGGGGTCGTGACTATGGTTGCTAATATAAGACATTTGAGAAAGATAGGCCACGGAGGAGACTTCGAAAAGGTGGTTGAACATGCTTGGAGATAATGTAGCAGATGCAGAAAAATCCTCAGTTTAGATGCTTAATCCGCTGTTCTTTTTACGCTCCCTTTATGATATGGTATAGGGTCTACTACAAAACTGCTTTACTTCGTGCGTGCAGATAGGAGGGACTATTCGAGCTTAACGCAATAATATTGCAAACAAGAGGTGCACTATGTTATGATAACACAGCGGGAACATTCAGCAGAGAGGTCGAGGGTAGGCCACAACCAGCTTTACCTGACTGGGTAGCATCGGGTGCTACAGGCCAGAGAGTGCAAGACAACGGAAGCGACGTTTTGAGACTGGCCACCACTGAGAGAGTCACCTGCAAGATCAACTATTTAGACAGAGGCTTGTGGGGCCTTTGGTTTAAGGTGAAAGAGGTCAGGGTTACATCCTCTAGGCACAGCTTAGGAGATATAACTCCATACCCAATGGCATTGCATGTGGCATCGGGTGCAGATCCCCGGAGTGCCCGAATGCTAACTTTTCAACACAAATAGAGGTATGTAGATTCACAGGATACGAGAGCTTGGGACAGTAGATAACGTCACGACACACACCCGCAGCAGGAGAATGCGGGTTCCGGAGTAGGATGAGCTCACAAAACAACCAGGCAAACAGCAAAGCATGTGCGGCTCGGGGGTGAGCCAGCGTTTGGCGAAGGGAAAGCTCGGAAGCAGGCGCCTACTCCTGGAAAGCAGTGGCAGACTCTATAGTAATGAATGTACTTTTGGGGCCCGAAGAATCACAAAGCTTTGATTCTCCACTTAGCCCCACCACTTGCCTATACACCCGTCCCTGCTACACGTTGCAGCTGCACAAAGTGCTGATCTTTCGCAGGTGAGAGCCCCAAAGGACGGTCCCGTTTTCAACTGGCTGTTCCTGATTTTTTTGTTGACCCAAAGTTCCTTTACACTATATACTAGGGCATGCTCAAGGGTTGACGGGTGCAGTTCTCAAAGGAGCATGTGCAAGCTCCCACCCTCCCGATCCCGTGGCTATCCCTCGCTATTCCGGAGTCCTATGGACTTAGTCTTTAAACTATCCTGCATCTGAAATCCCAATGTCTCGCTTTTGCATGACTACTCCTAGGCAAGCAGGGCACCCCGGTGGCCCCAAAGCTAAGTACTCTGGAAGCAACCGAGCTCCCCTAGCTCCCAATTCGCTACTTGCATACCCCCATAGTAAAAAAAGAGAGTAAAGGCCAAGTAGCACCTTGCAGCAATTCGTTTGAGCACCTGAAAGTTTAAACTTAAAAAGACTTGCATGTGCGTCCGAGTCCCGCAGGCAGCCTGACGCTTTGCAAACGTGTAAGGCTTGCGGGCCGTTCTCCTTAACAGAGCTTCGAGCACCTAGGCTCTCAATCAGTGCTTTCGATTCTACCAATAGCATAGTACTGAGAACGACAATCAAGAAGCGATCACCCGTAACAAACATATCCTTAATTGTAGCTTGCCGCTTTGTTATAATCTTAGTCGATTCCTTCAACAGAGCTTAGTGCTAGGACCCACGATAGAAAAGACTTACTAAGGTCCCCATTGCAGCCGAAAACAGAATAAGAAAAGAAAGAGCACAAATGATGTGAAGTATGTAGCTGTAGTTGAAGCCGTTATGGCGGCAAACGCCTCAGGAAAGGGGCCTTTAACGCGCAGATAAAGCTACCTCATAGGTACAGGAATAACTAAGGGTACAAATTCTTTAACCTGAACAGCACCATCGGCAATTCAGAAAAAAGCGTTGAAAACACGGAAGGAATGCCACTAAGATGCGCTGAAAGACACGTATATGCAGGTCACAGTGCAACAAGGCCAGCCAGCAGTTTAATGCGGAGCCCAGCGGGTCATCGACACCAGTTGAAAATCCCCATGACTTGTGCGAGGGCTCGGCGAGGCGAAGTGACAGGCTTCAAAATTCATAAATAACCAATGGAAAGTGCCAGGTATAGCCAAATTAGAATCAACCGTAAGGCATCTCTGGAGGCGCTGCTCCAGGCCAGACTTGGAGATGGTCACAGCAGCCGCAGCAGCCTGCGGACGTGCGGCACATAGCAGTACCACATGGGGAACCGAACCATTTGAGCAGAAATAGAAGAAACACCACGTATGGTCCAAAGTGTCGTGGAGGAAGATGGTTGGATCATAATCGTTCGAGGAAGTGTAACTTTAGAAAAGTTTGATCAACCTTAGGATTCTCAGTAGAAAGGTATTGCGTGTCGCGTGAGCCTTGGTCGTCTACCGCCCATCAACCGTGAGATTTTCAAAGAACTCATTGAGTTTATTCTAAGTTGCGCGAAACTGTACCCTTCCTCTACCGCTAGTTGCACAGATCATGTGTCTCACTGGCACACAGCATTGACTTTTTAGCGGACAGGTATGCAGCATCGCTTGATGCGAGGGAAAATTTAGCGGAATAAGGTACACTTCTGTGCATTATTCTACATCATCTATAGTCAACGAAGAAACGGTAGAGTATCGCGCTTACACTACTCTGCAGCAAACAAGATAGACGCATGCACTGGTGATGAGCGGGGCTGGCAGGCAGAAACATGCACCTGTAAAAAGCAATGAGTATAAGTGGGCTTTAGGAATGTTAGAAAATGCTTCAAAAATTTTTTCAAACTGCGCTCTGGAGAAAGCGTTACTCTCGAGAGCTTGGCGTGCCGGCTTTCATAGCATGTAATGCGCTTACTCAACATTCGTTCTCCTTTTTGTTACCCACTTTAGGATGCGTTTCACTTGTTGGTGTAGCGTAGCATGAGATATGATAGTAAGCATCCGGCGAATGAGACCATGGTACAGTAGCCTTGCCCACAACTGCAGTAGGAGCTCGTGTAGGGTGAGCTAGACAAACCCCCAGATAAGAAGGGAATGTACACCCTGGCCACAGTGAACACTTAAATGGAGGCTTAACCTGTTTCCTTTCTGAGTTGCTTTGGCGCTTTTCAAGGCCATGATGCTCCGTATCATGAAATACATGCTTTTTTCCACAAGAAAGAGCGCACTTGTGGAGTAGCGTATGAGAAATCTACAGACACCCAGTTCTGCAAGGCTTCCAGTAAAACTGCCAACTATTGCTTTTACGTTGCTACATGATTCATATAGTGCCGAGAACTAGAGCGCGACCTGAGGCATCTTACGCTGTTTCTCTGTGTACCTGCAAGAAATGGAGCAAGGCTGGAGTGGATGTACCCTCCAAGGACCAAAGACTAACTCCTGGCTTGAGGGCGAAGCGCGTTGTGTGCTGCCTAATGGAATAGTATATGAGGGCCAATTCAAGGGGGGTGACTTTCACGGGAAGGGTAAGCAATAGGAGGCAATGCAGCAAGGAGGACAACTTGGTGAACTTTGGAATCCTCCTACATGTTATTTCCACCATACAATATGCACAAATGAAGTACATAAACTTTTTGCTGTGTAATCTATAGGTGTTCTCATTTTCCCTGATGGGGGTCGTTATACCGCTGAGTGGGAGTGTGGGCGCTTGCAAAGCGGATACTATGCATTTAAGGATGGCCTTCCCTACCAAATGCAGAATTGGTCATACCTTGCGCCAAGCGACCGTCGCTTTGTAGAAGAATTTCGGCATGGGTTTGATTCCAGGGAGCAATGCACAAGCGTGAAAGTGCCGAATGGGACCTATGATACGGGTAGTGCCTTCTCAACCGCACTCCGCCGCTGCTCCCACAGGCACCTTTCCAACTCCAATGTGACCAGATTGCATCAAAGCTGAAGACAATGCAAGCAAGTGTGTGTGTGTGTGTGCAACTAAGGTGATGGGTATTTCAGCAATGTGATGGGTAGTATTACATCATACGATGGCTCTTCAATGTTGGCGGTGCCAAACGCTCTCCTAGCGAATTGGATTGTCCACCAATGCAGACGCGGCGAGAACACTGCCTGTAGGAACAACTTTGCTTGTACTCGGCTCAACAAAAACATTTTGGGCTCCTACACTTTGCTGGCTTGGCCTAGCATCGAGAATCAGAGAATCTGTGCAAATCCTTTTTCGAATACTTTCATTTTTAAAAGACACTGTCGACCGACACGCGTTTATGTACACCGTTTCACACTCTCCCGTGGTCTAGAAAGTATACTACGGGACACTGAAAGAGGGTCTAAGCGGTATTGCTTGGCACTGCTCAGTTGTGTTGCAGGCACAGTAACGGAGTGTGATAGTCAGCACCGCAAAGTTACACAAGGATAACCTTACCGACATAACAAAGGACGCCTGGCTCCCATCCACTTCCACCTGTTGCATGGAGTGCGAGGCGATGTGAGGGGCTGCGATCTATCAAGTTTCTACCTGAGCAACAAAGTTTTTACGGTTTCTCTGAGGAGGCCAATCCTTTGCGTCTAGGTTCGGGCAGTATTCTGGTGGACAGACCAACCACCTTTACTTACACTCAGAGCAGAGGGACGTGTGCAGCGCAACCGGGTTTCGAGCTAAAAATGAGGCTTCAGCATACAGCACGCTCTGATGAAGAGTGCACGTGACAAAATAAAACTAAACAAACTTACAAAACTAGTCACTAATCGCAGCGCAAATTAAATGGTGCACACTTCGCCTTGTCCTGGTTTCATTTTGCACGTTTTGTTGCCACACGACGAGGGCGTATTACAGAACATTTGGAGAGTGGCTCCCTGGAGTTTAATCGTTTAGGGCAGTAAGCTAACCACCATAATAGCCGTATAGTGTGTTGCATGTAAGGCTTCGTGCCGACTGTGAAAATCGAGCTCACCACAAATAGTAAGATGTTCAGCCTTGAGCACTTTCAATGAGAAAGGCTGATACATCCAGTTGGACAAAACTAAGGGTGAAGTGCGAGCAGTTATGTACCGCTATCCCAGCGTTGGCCGAAATCTATGAAATTAACTCATTTTTGTTCTTGTCTTGGCTTCTCGCTTTACTCCTATAGACGTGGGCTCTTACAAAGGTTTTAGGCTAGTGTGTTCTAGCACTAAACAACTTTGATACAAGCATAACATCGATGGAAGATAGATTTTAAAATACCTATTGCGGTGTATGCTGTTAGTATAAGCATTAAGATACTAGCCTTTTGAATTTTCCTATGAAGTGAGACTAGCACACTTCTTGAGCAAGAAGTGAATGACAACGGGCATCGTTGGAAATAACGACTGCAAGCAAAACCGCTGAACAGGTTAGAGAAAGGCATGTGCACGAGCCTAGCTCAAATATACGCTATTGAGCAGGGCTTTCGTCCCTCAGAATCAGCGAAAGCCCACGAACCTTGAATGCTCCCCCAATGGGCGCCAAAGTTGTAGGATATTCAGCTTCCCTACTATCCTTCTGGCTTCCTCCACAGATGCAAGCCCCCGCTCGAGAGCCCCTTTTTGGCGCTGAAAAAAGTGTCTCAGTGCTGCCTAGAACCTTCACAACAAGAAAGGGTAACAAGCGTCTTCAACGCAGGCCTGGTGCGCGCGGGTGGAGATCTCATACTCAGTAAGCATCATGCTCAAGCTTGCAACAGCATGCCAAATTTGTCTTCAAAAACAACTTACCCTCCGTTCTGAAATCAGTGCTAATACTTGACAAAAGCGCACTTTGCGTTAATATATACTGCAACACTTATACTCACTGGCCCGAATGCTGCACGCCAGCATTTTAGGCTCCATCACGAATAGAAAGAATCTTCCGTACTAAAACGATTCAGTGATTCACAACAAAATCTAGCTTTTAAAAGAATCAGCGCTAAAAGACTATTCTGTCATTGTAAATTTTTTTTGGTTAAAACTTGCGTGCGAGCCAACATTGGGCTTCACAGCAATAGCTTCCCTATTGGCCCAGTGGGCATCAGTGCCGCTTTGGCCAAAAGTAGCTAGCTTGAAGACAAGTATTTCTTATTTGCCCTTTCTTGAGCCTTGCCCATGGTCGTTCTCAATTTTCCTGTCAAACCTACCATTGTGGAAATAGCACGCAATTAATAAGGTGCCTTGAATCCCGAACCTCCCCACACTCATACTAGTAATGCAGAATCTATCTCAGCTTATGCCACAAACGATCATGCATTTGCGCAAACCTGCCTTTCGGTGTGAGAACCCTGATATATTTCGGCCTTGCAGGGGCCCTAGTGATTCAGTTGCACTTGCTTAGAGAGCTTTAGCTGCGACAGCAGCTGAGGGTGCGATTGTAGTATTCGTTCCACACACTTGGCTCCCGTAAGCTGAACCTTTCTTCAACTGACTGGCAGCACAGCCGTTTATGTCTCCCACGCTCAGGCCTCATAGAAGGACAAAATAGACAAGACCACAAAAAAAGTAGATGTGCAAATGTTAGATGCTTTGAGTGCCCACCCGCCTCACGCAGCTTCGCGGACCATCCGAGCTTCGAGCCCGTTTCGATGGGCTGTCCAAGATGCGAAAAATGTACTGGCGAAGCTAGCTAAAAATTTCAGCTTCATCCAGCCAGGCTGCGGCTTAACACATCTCATTTCTCTTGTGCAGCGTTGCTTCTCAAGCCCAGAGGATGTGCTTCTACCAGATGGTTGGCCACCGGCCAGTCTGGAGGCAAATAGTGTTTAACCGGAAATGAGCTTGAAGTTCCACTGCGAAACCACGGATAGCAATGATTATAGACTTCCTAGTCAAGTGGAACCTATTTCTGCTTAGTGTCGCGACCTGCCGGAACTTGGAAAACATCTGGGACAAATCAAATTTTAAAAGCCATGCACCACCAAGAGCCTCTTCAAATACACAGCAGGAAGGGCACAAGGTAGCACATGTGACCCGAACTGAGATTTTGTAGCCCGGTTCTCCAGAGGGGAGGAGAGATGACCTGTGGGCCTTCTCACCGCCGACAAGTGATACTCGGAAAGAGCAAGAACAACGGCTGGTTAATGGCTTGATGCACTAATGATTTGATATATCAAGAAGACAGCAAGTATTTTTGCAGTTGCATTCACTCTTAGATGGCTTCTGGATTTTAAAGGGAGTGTGTTGACTCATCCTTTGCAACGATGAGTAATGCATGCTGTTCACCTGAGCACGGAACAGTCGCGTGTTTTTCTCCAACGTTTGATTGTTAGTGCTATTGCGTGCTGTATAGCAACACCACTAAGTGGGTGGCTGTTAACGTCGAATTAATTGTTGCATGCGTATTTGTCATCCAGTGGCAACTCGCGGGGCATCATCAGCGAAAGGCCGTTTCCTTTGTCGTCCTACGCATCCTGTTATAGCGCTCCAAGCTATCTTTATGCCTTTCAGCAATTTCAGATTAAAGGCACTTTAACGCTCATCATGCCTGTGTGGTTGTCCTCAGGACTCCTACCCCACAGTTTTTGCCGAAGTGAGTACTCGCGCTTTCGTGTTTTACGCTTGACCTTGCAGGGAAGATGTTTGAACTGGGGTAACGCCCCAGTACAGCTGCAAAATGCTTTTTTCACAGGCACGCTCTACGCATGAGCACCTGAAGCGCTAGGGGCCCTGCAAGCTCATCGCACTGCAGGGTCCAGAACCGCTTTCCAAGCTAGTGTGTATATCCAATTTTCTGAATATCAGCAGCTGAAAAGAAATGTGCATGACTAGAATAATTGTGCGAAAGAATGGGGGGCTTTCTTGACATGATTATGTGCTATCCCTCCACACTTGTGCTTAACGACGATACCGAGCCTGAGTGACGAAGCACGACCCAATTACAAATGCTTACCTTTTAGCTCGTTCATTAGGACTGAGACGGCACTGACACCCACTGGGCTAGAGTAAAATTAGCACACTAAAAGCACAGCTGGCACGCACACAACGGTGCACACAGAGCCAATCTGCCGTGACTGAGCAGTGTTTTAGTGTTGATTTTGAGCACTGTTGGCTGACTCTCTGAAGTATTGAATCGTGTCCTGTCATTGGTGCTGTAGTCCGTGTTACAGGCGCAGCATCCGGCCCCGTGGATGCCAAACAGTGGGAACAGAGATTGATCCCAGGCGGTTGTTCGCGGAATACTCAAGATTTGCCATGTAAGGGTGCACTATGTGTTATCTTTTGAGACGGACTGTGGGCACTCTTTTAGCGAGGATGAGCAGAGTGTGTATCGAGCTTGAGACCTTTAACGAATGTGCTTAGTCCGCAATGAGGATCTTTGCTGCTCTTTCCTGTTGTGAAAGCTCAGGACAGAACTGGAAACGACGAGGAGAGACCATTACAACAATGGGCTTCCATTGGAAGCAGTAGTATAGCGGATTGACGCCTGTTGAGCGTGTTCCTGGGCCCCACATCTCTACTTAAAAGTGAACATCAGGCATTGGTTTGAGAGAGTTCCTGTTTGAGCTTCCGCACTTGTCCGATAACCTGCTGTTATGCTGATATGGGCGTAAACAGATGTATTGCCTCCTGTATGACGGCTTGCATTGTAGTAATTCAAGCAGGTGGACAATTTCCTTCGCATTAAATAGGGCAGCATTCTCATCACATCCATCGCCTAGGGGTGTCTTTATCAATGCTGCAAAAGCAAATCAAATTATAGAATTTCCTAAGCGATTTCTCGAAGCCAGAAATCTCTTGTTGACAATCTGAACATCCCTTTGCTACCACTAGTGGATGAGGGGGGCCACAGCTGCAGCAGAGCGTGCGTTGATGGCTAAAATAGTTATCATCTAAAGCCTCCGTAGGCAGACATGTAGCTTTGTTCGATTGAAGCTTAGAAATTTAGGAAGTCTTCTTTAAAGCGGGCTTCTCTCGTTCGTGGTTGGCGTACCTCAGGCCCGCATCATAAGAGGAAAA